CATAACATGCAACATACATACAACATACATACATTTTATCAGCTCGCTTGGAACAGCTGCTGGGATCGCTGTTCCGTGGGCACAGGACCAAATTTTCTTCATCTTCAAGACGCAGCAAAAACCCCTGAACTTTATCCAACTCTCTGTGTAGCCACACGTGGTGCAGGGCACCACACGGCTGCAGCTTACCGGCGCCTGCTGGATGGTTAACATCGCAGCAATGTGAGAGATGGCAGCGACTTGGGGAGGCCTTTATCCAGTAGTGAATGTGTAGAGGATGTTCGGGACATCCTCACACACAAACAACACACAAGCACGGGTTAAGGGTCACGGGAGCGCTGCCGTGTACGACGCGCAATCCGATTATTGAGTGGAGGACACTCTGACCGGATTGGCCCCAGAAGGATTAACCATCTCAAGCCTCTTCAAATGGATGACCTCATCGCATGTAGATTTGTATATCCCCGGTATTCCAAAGTGGCTTCACAGCAATTATAACAATGCGCGTGAGATGATAAGTGGTTCACATACAGAGTGGGGTTTGATATTGAAAGTGGACATGTACATATGGCGAGAGCAGACGGGAGAGATTAAAGAGGGTTTAGGCTCGGGGTTGTGATAAGGGTTGGGGTAGTGATAGGGGTTGGGGAAGTGATAGGGGTTGGGGTAGTGATAGGGGTTGGGGTAGTGAAAGGGGTTGGGTAGTGGTTGGGGTAGTGATAGTGGTTGGGGTAGTAATAGTGCTTGGGGTAGTGATAGGGGTTGGGGTAGTGATAGGGATTGGGGTAGTGATAGGGGTTGGGGGTAGTGATAGGGGTTGGGGTAGTGATAGTGGTTGGGGTAGTGATAGGGGTTGGGGTAGTGATAGTGGTTGGGGTAGTGATAGGTGATGGGGGTAGTGATAGGGGTTGGGGTAGTGATAGGGGTTGGGGTAGTGATGGGGTTAGTGATAGTGGTTGGAGTAGTGATAAGGGTTGGGGTAGTGATAGGGGTTGGGGTAGTGATAGGGGTTGGGGTAGTGATAAGGGTTGGGGTAGTGATAGGGGTTGGGGTAGTGATAAGGGTTGGGGTAGTGATAAGGGTTGGGGTAGTAATAGTGGTTGGGGTAGTGATAGGGGTTGGGGTAGTGATAGGCGTTGGGGTAGTGATAGGGGTTGGGGTAGTGATAGGGGATGGGTAGTGATAGGGGTTGGGGTAGTGATAGTGGTTGGGGTAGTTTTAGGGGATGGGGTATTGATAGGGGTTGGGGTAGTGATAGCGGTTGGGGTAGTGATTTGGGTAGGGATAGTGATAGGGGTTGAGGTAGTGATAGTGGTTGGTGTATTGATAGGGGTTGGGGTAGTGATAGGGGTAGGGGTAGTGATAGGGGTTGGGGTAGTGATAGTGGTTGGTGTATTGATAGGGGTTGGGGTAGTGATAGGGGTAGGGGTAGTGATAGGGGTTGGGGTAGTGATAGGGGTTGGGGTAGTGATAGGGGTTGGGGTAGTGATAGGGGTTGGGGTAGTGATAGTGGTTGGGGTAGTGAAAGTGGTTGGGGTAGTGATAGGGGTTGGGGTAGTGATAGTGGTTGGGGTAGTGATAGGGATTGGGGTAGTGATAGGGGTTGGTGGTAGTAATAGTGGTTGGGGTCGTGATAGGGGTTGGGGTAATGATAGGGGTTGGGTAGTGATAGGGGTTGGGGTAGTGATAGGGGTTGGGGTAGTGATAGTGGTTGGGGTAGTGATAGTGGTTGGGGTAGTGATAGGGGTTGGGGTAGTGATAGTGGTTGGGGTAGTGATAGGGGTTGGGGTAGTGATAGGGGTTGGGGTAGTGATAGGGGTTGGGGTAGTGATAGTGGTTGGGGTAGTGACAGGGGTAGGGGTATTGATAGGGGTTGGGGTAGTAATAGTGGTTGGGGTAGTAATAATGGCTGGGGTAGTGATAGGGGTTGGGGTAGTGATAGTGGTTGGGGTAGTGGTTGGGGTAGTGATAGGGGTTGTGGTAGTGATAGAGGATGGGGTAGTGATAGGGGTTGGGGTAGTGATAGGGGTTGGGGTAGTGATATTGGTTGGGGTAGTGATAGGGGTTGGGCTAGTGATAGGGGTTGGGGTAGTGATAGTGGTTGGGGTAGTGATAGTGGTTGGGGTAGTGATAGGGGTTGGGGTAGTGATAGTGGTTGGGGTAGTGATAGGGGTTGGGGTAGTGATAGGGGTTGGGGTAGTGATAGGGGTTGGGGTAGTGATAGGGGTTGGGGTAGTGATAGGGGTTGGGGTAGTGATAGGGGTTGGAGTAATGATAGTGGTTGGGGTAGTGATAGGGGTTGGGGTAGTGATAGGGGTTGGGGTAGTGATAGGGGTTGGGGTAGTGATAGTGGTTGGGGTCGTGATAGGGGTTGGGGTAGTGATAGTGGTTGGGGTAGTGATAGTGGTTGGGGTAGTGATAGGGGTTGGTGTAGTGATAGTGGTTGGGGTAGTGATAGGGGTTGGGGTAGTGAATAGGGGTTGGGGTAGTAATAGTGGTTGGGGTAGTGATAGGGGTTGGGGTAGTGATAGTGGTTGGGGTAGTGACAGGGGTATTGATAGGGGTTGGGGTAGTAATAGTGGTTGGGGTAGTAATAATGGCTGGGGCAGTGATAGGGGTTGGGGTAGTGATAGTGGTTGGGGTAGTGGTTGGGGTAGTGATAGGGGTTGTGGTAGTGATAGGGGATGGGGTAGTGATAGAGGTTGGGGTAGTGATAGGGGTTGGGGTAGTGATAGTGGTTGGGGTAGTGACAGGGGTAGGGGTATTGATAGGGGTTGGGGTAGTAATAGTGGTTGGGGTAGTAATAATGGCTGGGGTAGTGATAGGGGTTGGGGTAGTGATAGTGGTTGGGGTAGTGGTTGGGGTAGTGATAGGGGTTGTGGTAGTGATAGGGGATGGGGTAGTGATAGGGGTTGGGGTAGTGATAGGGGTTGGGGTAGTGATAGTGGTTGGGGTAGTGATAGGGGTTGGGCTAGTGATAGGGGTTGGGGTAGTGATAGTGGTTGGGGGAATGATAGTGGTTGGGGTAGTGATAGGGGTTGTGGTAGTGATAGGGGATGGGGTAGTGATAGGGGTTGGGTAGTGATAGGGGTTGGGTTAGTGATTTGTGTTGGGGGAATGATAGTTGTTGGGGTAGTGATAGTGGTTGGGGTAGTGATAGGGGTTGGGGTAGTGATAGGGGTTGGGGTAGTGATAGGGGTTGGGGTAGTGATAGGGGTTGGGGTAGTGATAGGGGTTGGGGTAGTGATTGGGGTTGGGGTAGTGATAGGGGTTGGGGTAGTGATAGGGGTTGGGGTAGTGATAGGGGTTGGGGTAGTGATAGTGGTTGGGGTAGTGATAGGGGTTGGGGTAGTGATTGGGGTTGGGGTAGTGATAGGGGTTGGGGTAGTGATAGGGGTTGGGGTAGTGATAGGGGTTGGGGTAAGTCTGGTCCTAGCTGGGGGAGTGAGCAGCAGTGGCAGGATGGGCCTGGCGAGAGGAAATGAGGGTTTAAGGGATGAATGGAAGCAGGTTATTGAAGATGATTGTTTATATATTTGGCTGATTGATGATGACGACGATGATGCGGCCAAACAGAATGGGTGCTGCATGGAGGAGGGCACTGATGAGCTCCGGAATGAGACATGATGGACGAGGGCTTTCGAGGTTCCCACGGAACTAGCACCGCGCCCGGGATGATTGCCCCCATAATTACCCGCGGGCTCTTGACTGCGCCTCCTCGCGCTCACTCAACTCCGAGTTAAACGACAGCCCGAGCTTAAGTGAGTTGCGCGTGCCCGCCCGTGTCCACCCTAATGCAGGGCTCTCCGCTTGGGGCGAGTGCGCGAGGCGACGAGGAGTCGCGCCCGCGGGGGTTGGGGTTTTGTTTTGCTTGCCGCCGCTCCGGCGGGTGCGCGAGAGGAGCTCGTGCGAGGTTCTGAAACCCCTCACGGCGAAATGAGCCGGTCCCGTGCCGGTCCCGTGCCGGTCCCGTGCCAGCTCCAGGTGACAGCTCCAGGTGACAGCTCCAGGTGACGGCTCCAGGTGACAGCTCCAGGTGACAGCTCCAGGTAACAGCTCCAGGTGACAGCTCCAGGTGACGGCTCCAGGTGACAGCTCCAGGTGACAGCTCCAGGTGACAGATCCTTGGCCACGACTGTGCGCGTCTCCTATCGAGCGCCAGGGGACCAACTCGTGGCTCCCGACGGAGCCGTCTTACAGAGTCCACCCCGGGGGTATCAAGGCGTCGGGAGGTGACGGGTGAGCGTGGATTCATCGCTGATGGAAACGCGAAGGGTGATGTTGAGGGCACCGGGGGCTGAGCTCCGCGAGACCAACGGCTTCCCGGGAAGTGGCATGGGGCTGGCTGCACGCTCTCGTCTGGTAGAGAAGGCGCCGATGGCGACGTCGTAGTCGCCACGTTCAAGTTACTCCAACAATCCCCCTGTGCGCATTATCATCTGGGACTGGATTACGAAAAAAGAAGAGGCATAGGTTTTACCCTTTCTGGCAATAATCGCCTATTCTTATTTTTAAAATAATTTTCCAGAAAGGGTAAAACCTATTGTTATTTTTTCATCATTTTTTTAATTTGTAAAAATGTCCCATAGAAACTAAAAACACAACAAAAAAAACCCGCCGAGGTGGAGTTCGTGTAGCCGGCTCAACAACGGATTCACGAACCCGGCACAGGAGGGCAGGACGGGACAGCAGCCTCGACGGGGCCTTGATCACTGGCGGCGTCATCCAGCAGTAGAGAGAGGGGAGAGGGAGCGCGGTCGGGGTGATGGCCGCCCCGACCGCGTCACCGTGGGGGCGCCGATTGAGGGTTCTGTCCGCTCGGCGCCGCGCGGGGGATATCAGCGCCGCGTCCCTAGGGGGTACGGGCGAATCGGAGCGAGGGCCCTAGGCTCCGTGCTCTGGGTGGGGGGGGGGCTTGGACGACACGGTGTCAGACGTAATACTTACGGTCTAGTTTGAAGGCGTCGAGGAGGGGGGGGGGGGTACAAGGTGGAAGGCCCTGGCAGGGATTTCGCGATCTGCAACCGATTTGGCGGAACGCGTCCGGTTCGGCGTTCAGCCGCGCAACCGGGAGGTGGTGACGGCTGTGCTGCTGGACGCGGCTGCCTCTGATCCAGCACTATGGAGGCAGCGGCCAGGGGTTGGTGGATCGCACACAGATTGTACAATGTTGTGAGACTCCCTTCCCGTGGACATCGTGGAGGTGCCATATCCTGGCTCGCCAGCGGGTTGCAGTGCAGAAAAAGTGTGGTCTTCTGTACGGGGATAGAGTGTTCCCCCCTCGCACGCGTGGGTTTTCTCCGGGTGCTCCGGTTTCCTACCACGTGCAGTATAAACAACACTCAGCGGCTGAAAGCCCGCTTGGTGCCGGGTGACCGCCTGGCAGCCTTCCGGCTTCAAAAAGAAACGACGAATTTTTTTAATTTTTTATTTTACCAGCTAAGGCCCACCGAGCTATATATCTTTTGCTTTCAGAAGCGACCTGGCAATCACAAATGATAGCCCAACGAAGTTTCGCTTGTCACGTGGAAATGCATAGCAGCCAAAAATACCCTAAAGCTTGGTCGGTGATGCCTACTCAGCGACTGTGAGAGATGTGATTTGCGCGGACGACACCGCTGCGATATGAAATTGATCACCGGACTGTGTTTTGTTATTAGCCGAGAGCGGAGGAGCCGCCGCTGCGCCTGATCCCGCACTTGCTCCTCCGGTTGCCGTGCACACGCGGCACCAAAGGCCGAAAGCGTCATGCGCCAGCAACACGCAGCAATATCAAAGTTATACTGCAGAGGCGTGTAACGCGCTTGTGGGCTCCAACAAGGCTCTTGTTGTAAAACGCTCGTGGGGGGGGGGAGAGACGATGATGGGAGGAGGGGAAAGTGAAAGTGGAGCAATGCGAGGGAAGAAGCGGAAAGAGGAAGATTGTGACCAGCGGTGTGGGCCAGTGGGTGAATGTGGTGCTGTGGTGTGTGTGTGTGGTGCTGGGTGTGTGTGTGTGGTGCTGTGATGTGGGTGAGTGTGTGTGTGTGTGATGCTGGGTGTGTGTGTGTGGTGCTGGGTGTGTGTGTGGTGCTGTGTGTGTGTGTGGTGCGGGGTGTGTGTGTGTGAGGCTGGGTGTGTGTGTATGGTGCTGTGTGTGTGTGTGATGCTGGGTGTGTGTGTGTATGGAGCTGTGTGTGTGTGTGTGGTGCTGTGTGTGTGTGTGATGCTGGGTGTGTGTGTATGGTGCTGGGTGTGTGTGTATGGTGCTGTGTGTGTGTGTGGTGCTGGGTGTGTGTGTGGTGCTGGGTGTGTGTGTGTGTGGTGCTGTGTGTGTGTGGTGCTGGGTGTGTGTGTGTGTGGTGCTGGGTGTGTGTGTGTGTGTTCCTGGGTGTGTGTGTGATGCTGGGTATGTGTGTATGGTGCTGGGTGTGTGTGGTGCTGGGTGTGTGTGTATGGTGCTGGGTGTGTGTGTGTGATGCTGGGTGTGTGTGTGTAGTGCTGGGTGTGTGTGTGGTGCTGGGTGTGTGTGTGTGTGATGCTGTGTGTGTGTGTGGTGCTGGGTGTGTGTGTGTGGTTCTGGGTGTGTGTGTGGTGCTGGGTGTGTGTGTGTGTGATGCTGGGTGTGTGTGTATGGTGCTGGGTGTGTGTGTGTGGTGCTGTGTGTGTGTGTGTGTGGTGCTAGGTGTGTGTGTGTGGTGCTGTGTGTGTGTGTGTGGTGCTGGGTGTGTGTGTGATGCTGTGTGTGTGTGTGTGGTGCTGGGTGTGTGTGTGGTGCTGGGTGTGTGTGTGTGGTCCTGGCAGGACGGCCCTAGACGAGCTGCCAGCAACTGGCGCCCTCAGGCGAACTCTGCAATCGGCGCCCCCAAACCCTAAGGGCAGATATGGGCTGAGCTTTTTGGTAAATTGGGAAATATTTCGCCCCTATTTTCCGTTCAATGTGTTTAAGCGTATTTCTTTTTTAAACAGAGGCATAATTATTCGGTCTGTCCGCGGGTCCGTCTGTACAACCAATATTTCTGAGATTATATAAAATAGAGACGCGACATTTTCAGAATAGATTTTGTACTCGATACTACGGCAATATTTCAGTCCGATTCACGGTATTTATTTCTGCATTAAATCTTTTTTCATTAACACAGTCTCAGAAATGTTGAGAAATAAATTAAAATTCATATTCCCTCTGTACGCGCACGGGTATTGAAATAATGACATCTTCGTTATTTAATGTGTATTTGTTTTATTTGAAAATGTTTCCTCGAATTTGGCGCCCCACTTCACTTGGCGCCCAAGGCGACCGCCCTCTTTCGCCTGCATGGACGGGCCCGGTGAGTGTGGTGTGAGTGTGGTGCTGGTGTGGGTGAGTGTGTGTGAGTGTGGTGCTGGTGTGGGTGAGTGTGTGTGAGTGTGGTGCTGGTGTGGGTGTGTGTGTGAGTGTGGTGCTGGTGTGGGTGAGTGTGTGTGAGTGTGGTGCTGGTGTGGGTGAGTGTGGTGTGAGTGTGGTGCTGGTGTGGGTGAGTGTGTGTGAGTGTGGTGCTGGTGTGGGTGAGTGGGTGTGAGTGTGGTGCTGGTGTGGGTGAGTGTGTGTGAGTGTGGTGCTGGTGTGGGTGAGTGTGTGTGAGTGTGGTGCTGGTTTGGGTGAGTGTGTGTGAGTGTGGTGCTGGTTTGGGTGAGTGTGTGCGTGGTGCTGGTGTAGGTGAGTGTGGTGAGTATGGTGCTGGTGTGGGTGAGTGGGTGTGTGTGTGTGGTGCTGGTGTGGGTGAGTGTGGTGAGCATGGTGCTGGTTTGGGTGAGTGTGTGTGGTACTGGTTTGGGTGAGTGTGTGTGTGGTGCTGGAGTGGGTGAGTGTGGTGAGTATGGTGCTGGTGTGGGTGAGTGGGTGTGTGTGTGGTGCTGCGGTGTGTGTGAGTGTGGTGAGTATGGTGCTGGTGTGGGTGAGTGGGTGTGTGTGTGGTGCTGGTGTGTGTGGGTGTGGTGAGTATGGTGCTGGTGTGGGTGAGTGTGGTGAGTATGGTGCTGGTGTGGGTGAGTGGGTGTGTGTGTGGTGCTGGTGTGTGTGAGTGTGGTGAGTATGGTGCTGGTTTGAGTGAGTGGATGTGTGTATGTGGTGAGTGTGTGTGTGTGATGAGTATGGTGCTGGTGTGGGTGAGTGGGTGTGTATGTGGCGAGTGTGTGTGGGTGAGTGTGTGTGAGTGTGGTGCTGATGTGGGTGAGTGTGTGTGAGTGTGGTGCTGGTGTGGGTGAGTGTGTGTGTGTGTGTGGTGCTGGTGTGGGTGCGTGTGGTGAGTATGGTGGTGGTGTGAGTGAGTGTGGTGAGTATGGTGGTGGTGTGAGTGAGTGTGGTGAGTATAGTGCTGGTGTAGGTGAGTGTGGTGAGTATGGTGCTGGTTTGGGTGAGTGTGTGTGTGTGGTGCTGCGGTGTGGGTGAGTGTGCGTAGTGCGCTAACAGCACTTTCACCTACAACTTGTTAAGGCTATACGGGGGATCTTTATCTTTTGTCTTTATAGTGCGGGTGTGTATGAGTGTGTGCGTGGTGCTGGGTCTCCCCTCTGGAGAGCGATGGTGTAGCGGTTAACGGGCTGCGCTAGGAACCCGGCGACCCGAGTTCGATTCCCACTCACGGCCAACGCTAGTACCGGGCCTCCCCTAGGTCTACGCAGCCTTAAATGAGTAGCTTGATAGAGTGTGTGGACATGAAGACCGTGGAAACAGGTGGTCGGAGCGTGGCTTGTCACGCCACCGACTCGTGCGCCAAGTCGACATTAATCGGTGATCGATTACAGCAATCGCCCCCAAATAGCCTACAAGGGCGACGGGACGGGGGTGGAGGGGACCTTGGTCTGGGTGGTACCAGCGGATGGTCTCGGTGGTGACCTCCCGCGTTTTCCTGGCACCCTCCCGGGCCGCTCTCCGCGACTTTGCGGCTCTGACGTCATTTCCATTCCTGCGCGTGGCGATGGCACCAGCGCAGAGCGCGTTCAGAGCCTAACGCCAACGGCGAGCTCCGCTGTTGGCCACCGCGAGAGGGCTTCGGCAGAGAGAGTTCGTGTCGCTGTTGGAGCGCAGACCACAGTGGGGTTACTCGATGGTTCATAGTTTGGGTCGTACCGCCGCAATGGCACGAGTGTGGGCTTGACTAATGTATATCTTTGTATATCCTATGGGTCTCTGTGTGTCTCCGTGTATCTCTATGGGTCTCTATGTATCTCTGTGTGTCTCTATGGGTTTACTGTGTGGTCCGTAGGTTGAGCTGCATGGCCACAACGGCACTGCTC